ATGACACAGCAGCAGCAGAACTGGAAGAAGACGCAGAAGACAGCCAGTTCCACTGCGGGCCTTATAGAAACCTTCCGGGGGACTGATCTGGCCCCTGGGCCAAATGTTTGACACCCCTGGGTTAGAGTATCAGACCAGGTTCTGGGAGATCCAAGTTCAAATTCCCACTCTCCCAGGGGTGACCTTGGCCAGTTACTCCATCTCAGCCTAACCTACCTCACAGGATTGTCATTGTGAGGATAAAACAGAGGAAGGGATCATTTGTTACAACACATCAGTTGTAAATGCTTTGAGTCCCCATTTGGGAGAAAAGCAAGGTATTGATATAAAAACAAAAATATACATGTTCGTCCCATGACAAAGACAAGGGCATACTGAAAATTTTTAAAAGGACAGTGTACTCATGGCTGCCTATATGCAGGGATGACACCTTCACCCATTACGGTTTTTGATACAGACTTACAGGACACCCATAAAGGAAAATCTCAGCATAGGCTCGTACAGGGCTCCAGAAACAAAGTAATAAGCATTTGCTTCCACCAAAGGAGCTGTCCTGGAACTGGAAAATAGCTACCAAGGCCCTGCTGTAACTCAGAAAGCGAAAATGACGATGAGCCACTTCAAACAGCACAACTGAACACAAGATCTTTCACCTCTCTGATCCTAAAAACACCCACAGTGCCATCCTAAGGAGAGTTCCATTCTTCTCAGGCCACCGAAATCAATGGGCTTAGAAGGGCAATATTCCGCTTAGGATCATCCTGTTACTTAAGGAGAAGTCCTCTCAATACATTGCAGCAGACCATTTCCAAGCCCAGCTTCTCACTCAATCCGGCTTGAGGACAGCTACTCAGTTCCTTTCTGGTGCATTACAGCCATCACAACTCACTTGAAAAACCAAGCATCCTGATACATGGGCACCTACAGGAAACTCACAGCATTCTGCAGTGGAGGGAAGGGCTTGACCACTCTAAATCTACAGCAGCTCAGTTCCTCACCGCATGCCGTTTCCAGACTGCCGAAGGTTCTGGAGAACGGAAAGGATCCTACATATCCTTATTAGTAAGTTCACTGCCATCAGCCACTAAGTGCAACCAAACTGAATGGAGAGATGTCTGGATTTGGGAACTATTCTAGTATGAGGAAGCTGATCAGATGCTGGTAGGCAGTCCTGCCACATTGAAAAGAGTTCACCCCCTTGAAAGAATACACTAGGCCTGGTCTGCACATGCAGGGGAACAAGGTGGTAGAATTGTCTGCACCACTTCAGAGTTTCAGGGGGTGGATTCTGGACGTGAACTCTCCTCCACAGAGAAGACCATACTTGGGAAAAAAGAAAAAGAAAAAACCCTTCCACAGCAGTGAGTGTTCTATACCAGCTCTTTTCTACTTGCAAGCAGGTTTTTTTCTTTCAAAGACAGGGGACTATACAAAAAAGCGACCCCTCCCCTCTGCAGTCTGAATTGGTACTGCCCATTCTACCATTCCCTTCAATTTGCATTCTGCTGCATTTATACCTTCGTACATATGACTCACGCTGATAAGTGATTGATCCATGTCGTACTTATAAAGTGACGGTCCAGGAAACCTACGAACCAGTCCATGCCCCATTAAACTCCGTAGGATGAATGCCTCAACAAGAGAATTGGCATTAGGGTTGGGAAATTCCGGGAGATTTGGGAGTAGAGCCAGGGGAGGGTGGGGTTTGGGGACCTCAGCAGGGTACAATGCCATAGACTCCACCCTCCAAAGCAGCCATTTTCTCCAGGGAAACTAGTTTCTGTCATCTAGAGATCAGTTGGGATTCCGGGAGCTCTCCAGGCCCCACTTGGAGACTGGCAACCCTAACCGGTATCAAAGCAGTGATCTTCACCCTTTCCACGCTTGAGACCCACCTTTAACACCCAGACGGCAGCATGAGACCTACTGAACTGCAACCATATGGCAAAAAGCTAAGTGACATGAGAGTCACATGACAGCAAGAAGGGAGCCAGAATCAAGACCTTGCCTAACTGGTGTCAGGGCCTGGACTGTGGACACTACCCTGAGAGAACCTGGGACAGGAAGCACAAGCTGAGCATTAGGAGGTGTACCACACTGAAGAACCAGCTCATGGGCTGAAAGATGCAGCAGGAGGAATCCTCCACCAATGAAAGACCTCTTCTTAGCACCCTGCTGCATCTTTCAGTGGGGCATTCACAGAAAACAGGAGGTGTAGCATCCTTGTTCTCTATGCACCTACACTAGCAGCAGGTTCTTCCTTAATGCCAAACGACAGCTCAGGACCCAGCAGGTGGAGATCTGCCACCCTCCTAAGAGTTCTGACTCACAGGCCACTGGTTTTAAACAAAGAGTGTCCACTTTTCACTTTCCCTGATGATTTTTTCATCAAACCAAAAAATATGGGATGAAAAAAATTAGACAGTCAACACCCCAGGGCTCCCTGTGTCCACAGCATTGTCACATTAAAGGGAGTCAAGCATTGAAATAACATGCAAACTTTGTGTCCACAGCATTGTCACATTCAAGGGAGTCAAGCCTTGCAATAACCTGCAACCTATTGTTCCTGTAAGGTTCTTCTAATGCTTCTTAATACCAGCAGGAATCCAAAGAATTGGATAGGTAAAGTATGCGGATAAAGGAATATCCATTTCTGCCTTTTTGCCATCTGCTGCTTTAGGTTGTACACAGTTTTTTGTAAGTAAGTTTAAGAAATCAACTATTTGTATATGCAGGAGTCTGATCACTGTGAAATGGGGCAGTCTGATATTCGTACCACTGAAATACAAGTGACTCTGTTGGGCTTCTTACCCATACCAGATTAACACTGAACAAAACAGACTGAGGACTGGAAATGCAAACAATATCCACTTACATCTTTGGGGATCTATTTCCAGCTGCATAAACTTACCCCAGACCGAGCTGGTGATCGATTTGATTTTCAAGCCAACTCAGCGGCAATCTATTTACAGCTTTGTCAAAGTGGAACTATAAATAATGAACAGCTAATGTCTGGCATATACTCACCTCCCTCTGCTTCTTTGCAGTATGGGGTTGTGCAGGAATGGAAGAAAACAGCTCAGCCCAGCGCTTTGCTGTCTCACACACAGTAGTCCAAAGAGCCAAGGATCCCCTCGAGCGGAGCAGGCCAATGAAATCACAGGGCTGCCCTGATCTGCACTGCACAGAGGCGTTCAACCACATTCTCTAGAAAAGCCCAGGTGGAAATTCCACTTGCAGCCCACCCACTCTTAGGTGCATTTTGGTCAGAAACAAGTCCCACATTCCATTCAATGGGATATTTCTTTGCAAGCATTTGATCACCCGGGGTGCAGCAGGAAAGAGTTCTCCCACTTGAAAGGAATGTATTTACTTGGTCTTTCTTTTCTTTTTTTTTGAAAGACTGCCTCAGGCCTCCGGGAAACCACCAGCTCTGGATCCTTCCCCACCCCACCCAAAACGGCAGCGCTGAGGTGTTTCAGTGGCAACCAGCACAGAGAATGTGGCAGAAACAAAACATTAAGTATTTAACACCTTGAACTGTGATCGCTTTCCACAAGAGAGGAGGCATCAAAGACTTCCAAGATATTTAAAAATAGCCCTGTTGCTATGAAATTAACTTCTGCTTAAGGCAAGTCTCCGCACTTCATTTTAAAATAAAATAAAAAGGAGGGTGGTATCCGCAGAAGATATCCTTCCTCTCCTCATCACCCACAGGCTTACTCCACTCACTGGGATACATTGCTCCCCCCCCTTGCCAAACATCAACTCCTAACTCCTATTTCATTTCTCTGCCCAGTGGGGACTGCTTGACTATGGGATTTAGCATGTTATGGCCGAGTCTAATCGGCAGTGAATAATCCCCAGTTAGAAGTGGAACCTTCTTTGCAGACTCAAGTGCATCGAGGGCGCTTTCCAGCCCCAAGAAGCATTAGGACCCAGGCATTCAATGACAGATTGCCAAATCCAAAGTAAAACCCTTCCTTCCCCTCCCCCTTTGCCTCATAATCTGAGGTGAGAGGACACCCACTCCTCGCTCTGTTGCTCTCACCCTGTTTAAAACAAATTAAAATGACCCGTGAGATTGTCCCAAAGGGGGGAGGAAAAAAATGTGAAAGTTTTAAGCTTTTAAAAAAGGTGTGTTAAAGAGCAACTGCATTTGAATCCTATGTGGAGAAACTCCCACCGTGCTTGGCAGAGGTTACTTATGAGTAAACATGCCTGGGGTCAAGCCATAATCAAATATCTTTTTTTTAAGGGGGAATTTCTGGGCCTTTTATATTTTACTACTTTAGATTTGTATCCCACCTAGCCGGAACAAACTGGCTCAAGGCGGTGTACATGACAAGATAGATAAAACAATAAATAAGTTTGTACATGACAAGATAGATAAAACAATAAGTACATTAAAATTTACACAATTTTGGCCTGATGGGCAGTGCAATCCTATGCAGAGTTACTCCAGCCTAAATGTACCGATGTCAGCTGATTGCAGGGCCGGCCACGCTGAGTTCGGTGGGTCAAGAAGACCAATGTTCCCTCTAAGCTGTGGAGTCTTGTGAGCAAAAATTCTACTTTGTGAGCTCCTGGCATTAAAGTTGTGAGCAAGCAATGTGGCTACTGCATAAATTAGTTTGCTCTGGAGCCATCCTTCCTGAGCTAGGACAAAAATGTGTGAGCTGGAGGCTAAAAAACTGTGAGCTAGCTCACACTAACTCAGCTTAGAGGAAACACTGGTCAAGACTCCGCATAGGACCGCCCTGATCCTGGGCAGAGCTTTCCTGAACCAAACCGGGTGCCCCATTAAATCCCCCACCCACACCTTTCTGCTCCTGCGAAGTCCGCCGGCCCCCTCCCCTTGCGGGATTTGCTACCAGCCGCACCAAATCTCCAGAGCAACTGAAATCTAACCCCAACCCACCCCCGCGGGGAAGCAAAACACAAGACCCGCCGCCCTCCTCACGGATGAAAGCCACGAACGTTCAAAAGGGAGAGGGGGAGAAAATCGCTTTGATATTTTATTAAGCACGCCGGGAAGTCGGGCCAACAACAGCGGCTGCCGGGAGAGGCTCGGGTCCAGAGGCCTGGCTCCTCCCCTCCGCTCCACGACCGCGCCCCCCACCCCCGCCTCGGCTCTTAGGACGATGATTAGCTGGAGGCGAACCAAACACTGGCCAATGGGAAGGGGAGGAACAATGCTGGTTTCGTTTGGAATGTTGCCATGGTTTCCCCAAGGGGGAAATGAGCGGCGGGGAGGGGGGGGAGAGGGAGCAGCCCGCCACGTGGGGCGGCGAGTCCGGGAGGAGGGCTGCTGCTTGTGCACGCCGGCCGGCCGGGCCAGAGCTGGTCTCTCGCCCTCCTCCTCCTCCCCTTTCTCGTCGGGCTCAGCTTTTTAAAAAAAAAATTAGTAGTAGTACTAGTATTTTATTGTAGTGCTGACTCCTTGTCATCCACGAGGGCCAGCTCTTGGATCACCCTCAGTTTGCTGCTGGCGTCGATCCTGCGCTTCTCCCTGATTAGGTCCTCCAGGCTCTGGAAGCGCACCGTGTGCACCTTGTCGTCTGCCAGGTGGATCTTGAGATAGTATTGCTGCTGGGGCTGAGAGCCCGAGGCCGGCTGGAGCTCGCCGCCGGCTTTGAACTCCCTCTTGCCGAAGCGGCACCAAGCGGCGAAGCTCTCCGAGTTCGTCCAGCAGATCTCGGGGCTCTTTAAGCCCAGGTGGCCGCAGGCGTTCTGCACCACCAGCTCCGCCACCAGGGGGCGGTAGCGGTACCAGCTACTCACCACCCGGCCCACGTTGCCCCCCGCCGCCGCCTCGTACAAGCTGTCCTGGCGAATCTGGCCCTGGTGCAGGTGGATGATCTGGCCGCTGCCCACATAGACTGCCCAGTGAGGGGGCGGCGGCGGATGGTCCGAGGGCCCCAGGTAGAAAAGCTCCAGCAGGTCTCCCGGCTTGCACAAGGCCGGCAGGGCCGAGACCGGGTAGACGCTCAGGTCCCCCGCCTGGGGGTCGCCGCTGACTTTGGAGAAGATGCATTCCTGGCCGCGGAAGGCGGAGAACTGGGGCTCGCTGAGCACCAGCTGCGGCGGGTGGTGGTGGTGGTGGTGGTGATGGGTGGGAGTCTCGGGGGCCGGGCTGCCGGAGCCCTTCACGCCGTACTTGTCCGCCGGCCCTCGCTCGTCCAGATCCTCCTCCTCATCCGAGAAGAAGTACGCAACCCCGACGCGCAGCTCGTCCTTCTCGATCCCCGAGGGGTCCCCGGTCGGCAGCTCGCTGTAATTCAGGTGGGTGATGCGATCCAGTTGATTTCCCATCAATGACAGGGCGAGGCGAGAGCAGGGATCGCCGGATCTGAGAGCGGAGGGAAGGCAAAGGGAGGGGATTAGAGCCCGTGGAAGGATTCGCACACATGCACACACACAAACAACACCCGCGTCGCCAAACGAAACGAGGCGCACCCGAGAGGAATGAGGGGCGTGTGTGTGTGTGTCTGTGGGGGGGGGGGTGGCGGCTTCTCCGCGCCCCATCTTGGCCAAAGGAGCGGCGTCTCTTCCACGGATCCGTCCCACTTGCCCCCAACGCACCCCGCTCCCCCCCCCCCGATCTCGCTGCGGGTCCTCGGGCAGGGGCTGTTCCCTGGCAGCCAGATGTTGCAGCTCCGCCGCTGGGCTGCACCGCTCCCGGAGTCCCGCTCCGGCGAGGGCTTTCCCCGGAGACTGGCTGGGGTAGGGGGGGCAGAGCTGCTCTGGGGTCACCACCAGACCCGACCTCCCCGCGGAGCGCCGGCAGGGAGGCAGAGAGACCCGGAGAGTTTCTTTCCTTTGTTACCAGCTGTCGCTGCCTTCCGCCCACCCCACCCCCCTTCCCCACACCGGGGGAAGAGAGAGAGAGGGAGGGAGAGCCCCACAGCTGGAGGCAAGAAGGGAAAGGTCCGCGGACGATGGCTGCTCCTTGCCCGGACTCCCCCTGACCCGAGGCAACATGCCCACCCCAGCCGAGGCTGCCCGGGAGGTGACCTTCCTGGGAAGCGAACAGATCGCCACGCCGGGTGTGCGCGGGGGAAGAGAATCATCCCCCGATCCCCTTTTGCGTACCCGGAATCGCCCAGATCCTGACGAAGCCCCCGAACTCCTCTAAAGTCGCCTGGCCGCCATGGGGGCTGCGGAGGGGCGCAGTCCGGTCCTCCGCGGCGACCGCAGCTGCAGCAGCCACCGCCGTCTAAGCGCGGGCGCTGCCGGCTCCGTCTGGCACGCGCGCCGCATCCACCTCCACCTGGCGCTCCTCCACCTGGACGGTCCCGCTCGGCTCTGAGCTCCCCTCGCTCGCCCCGGCGAGGCTTCAAGTAGCAGCCGCTCGGGCTTGGGAAAGCCCCGCCCTTGGACGAGCTCATTGGCTGCCCGGCTCTGCGCCTGGCGAGCCGCTGCCGGCCTCCGGGGTGTCAAACATCGCCACAAGGGTGGGATTCCAGGCCGTCGGCCCGCCTCGCGCAGGAGCCCGGCCGAGGGTCGGCTGGCTGGCTGGCTGGCTGCGCCCTCGTGGGCCGGCTAGGAACCAGCAGTCGCCGAGGCGGGAAGCCCCTGCTCCGCTCCAGCCGCCTTCCCCGCCAGACGCTCCGCCCAGGGAGGCAGAGAGTGCCGGAGCTCTGCAGGTCGCCGTCTTTCGCGTCGCGCGTTGCTGCTGTGATCCTTATGCCGTTTAGTGCACCCTCTGCCGCCTCCGGCTTTGTTGACCTGACAGACAGGCAGCTTCATAAGAGACCCGAACAGCCAGATGTACTAACGTGAATGGCGAGAATGTCCACTGGGAACAATGGGAGATGCTGGAATGCCTGTTGGATGTAAGCAGCGCCCGGAATGCCCGATTGACTTGCATGGGCGTTATGGCGCACAAAAGTTGCAACGAAAATGTGGAAAGGGTTTAGAGAAACCTGCCCCCCCCCCCGGGACTGGAATAACAGTCCCCCAAAGAGGAATGGCAGACTCTGGGGTTAAAAACAGTGCCCTGCAATGGCAATCACAAACCTTGGCGTGGAATGAAATACTTTTTTTGTATTTTGTGTTTGCTGTCTAGTCTCAGCCGCCTCATGGCAACCTTGTAGGGTTTTCAAGGCAAGAGAGGTTCAGAAGTGGTTTGCCATTGCCCACCTCTGCCTAGGGCCCCTGCTATCCTTTGGTGCTTAGGTTCAGGGCTGAAATATGTTACGTTTCAATTAAGATTTGTGGAGGTTATGTAATTATCCCCAAATCAGCTCTGCCTCAGTAGTTATCCTGCTGGTCAGCTGTTCAGCTTCCCTCCAGAGTCCTGTCAACCATCTCATTCTGCCCTGTTGACAAATCTTGCCCACTCCCCCATCCCTTTTCTTCCCAAGAGCCCCACAGTGTCCTTCCTTCCTACCCTCTATTTCCCTCACCTGTGTCACATCTTGTCTGAGCTCCCTGAGCACTTTTGCCCACTCAGTTGACCACTGACCCACAGTACCCACCCCACAGTCTCTCTGTGGAAAATCCCATGACATATTCTTAGGGATGTATATTTTCTTATATGAAGATTTTAATATCTGGATCTCTTTAAAGCATCTCAGGCCACTGACCCCTTTTGGCAAGTACTCTGAGTGTCTCTGGCTCTCTAGTGTCTCAGGCACAGGTGAACAGTAGTTCTGTGCTTTCTGCCTTCCCTTTGACAGGGGTCCCCAACCTTTTTGAGCCTGTGGGCACATTTGGAATTCTGACTGGGATTGGTGGGCACAGTCACAAAATGGCTGCTGCAGAAGGTGGAGCCAGCCACAAAATGTCAAGGAGTCAGGTTATTTTTAAGTGAACATATGCAGGGGTCGTTTCATAGAAAAAGAGCTAGGGGAACTCATTAGCACAACTCATTAGCATATGCTACACCCCCTGACATCACTGGAAGTGTGTCATAAGGCCACACAACCCGCCCCCAACGGTCCCGGCCGCCGCCGACCTTGCAGCTCCACTGCCGAGCCCCATGAGGGGCCCGGCAGTGGACCTGCAATGCTGGCGGGAGTGCAAGGAAGCCCCGCAAAGGCCCTCCCTGGCCCCAGGCAGGCAGGGGTGGGGAGAGGCAGGGAGGAAGCAACTTACCCTCCCTCTTCTCCTGCCTCCTCCTGGCTGAATGAGGGCTGGAAGCAGGGGGCGGGGCTTCGTCATGTGCCCCGCCCGCAGTACCTCACCCGGGGAACTGCGATCCCCCGCGATCCCCCCCGAAATGACCTCTGAACATATATATTTTCTCTCACACCCATAGCTTATCCTCAGTCACACTGTGAAGATCCTTGTGCTGTGTTAGTAGCTGCTGCCAACAGAAAGCTTTGTAAAAGTCTGCACAACCAATCAGATCACCATTGGCCAATGAGAAGGCCTGGTGGGCAAAAGTTCCATTTGGTTCCGTCCACTTTCTACGAGCATTTGGCAGGCACCAGAAGAGGTGTCTGTGGGTCCCTTGGCATCCATGTAGGCAGTCAAGGTTGTGTGCATGTAACCTCTTTCTGCATGGGCTCCACGGGACTAATTCAGGAACAAAGCTTGCAAGACAAAAATGATTTAAAATAAAGAAAATTATTCTAACTCAGTTTTTTCACTATAAAAAGCAATGTAACAAAACATTGTGGCAAGCACATAAATAAAGCAGTGAACAGGAAATGCAGGAGATCATCTCTCTTAGTTCAATTAAACATTGGTTCTTGCTTGCAACACTGTGGTGAGTTAAGTCCTACTCAAGTCTAGTAAGGTGCAGAACTCTTCTCATCCTCTTTGAAAATGCTTCAACCAGACTGTAATCTGCAGTTTGAAAAATATCACCCTGTCATTCCAGTTGCAGAACATTTGTTCTAATCTCAGAGCATCATTCCTCTTGGGGCTGTCATTTCAGTCACAGAACACTGATTCCAGTCCCAGGGGCTGTCATTCCAGGCCTAGAATACTTCTGCTGTGACCAGGGACCATCATTCCACTATGGAGTCTGTCATTCCAGGTTCAGGAATGACACATCCTTTCCACATTTTCATTGCACCTTTTATGTGCTGTATTGTATTTCAGTGGGCTCCATGTAAATCAGTTGGCATTCCTAGTTCCTGTTATATCCAATGGGCATTCTAGCATCTCCCATTGTTCCCAATCGACATTCTTTTCATTGATTTTAGTACATCCCCAGGCACCCATTTATTAGATGCAGATGAATCTGGCTTGCAGTTCTCTGGCTGCTACCACCCATGGTTGGGGAGGGGCCATGGTAGAGCATCTGCTTGGCATGCAAAAGGTCCTAGGTTCATTCCCCAGTATCTCCAGTTAAAAGGACGAGACAGTAGGTGATGTGAAAGACCTCTGCCTGAAGAGCTTCTGCCAGTCTGAGTAGACAATACCAACTTTGATGAACTGATTATCTGATTCAGTATAAAGTGGTGTCATGTGTGTTCATGTGGTTAAAGATGGACTGGAGGGGTACTGTCTCTGGAGCCTTCCATGGTGGCTCAGGAAGAGGTGTATGTCCCCCACACCTTTGGTTCAAAGGTGCAGAGGTTCTGCCACTGTGCTTGGGGAGGGTCATTGGCTTTTCATGCAGGAAGGCCCAGGTTCAGTCTCCGGCATTTCCATTTAAAATGACTGGATAGAACAAAATTTGAGGTCAGTAGACCAGCAAAATTTTCCAGGTTGCAAAGTCTCATGAGTCAAAACTCACAAGAATCAGGTATTGAGTGATATAAAAGGTCCTGGTGACCTACTGCCCAGTGGAGTCGACAATACGAAACTTGATAGACCAGTGGTGTGACTTGGTATAAGGCAGCTTCATATGTTCATGAACACACATGAACCCATGACACTGTCTTACACTGACTGAATCAGGCCCTTGGTACATCAAAGTCATTATTGTCTATTCAGACTGGCTGGCCAGGGTCTTGGGCAGAGGTCTTTCATATCACCTACTGCCAGATCCTTTAACTGGAGATGCCAGGGATTGGACCTTGGACCTTCTGCATGCCTAGTAGATACTCTACCACTGAGCCATGGCCCCTCCCTCTGTAGGCAGCAGGAAATCTGGTTGGATCCAATCCTTGGATTCACTGACCTCAATGGGATCTCAGTGCAACAATTCCCTTGTTAGTTTGCCATGCTGCTGGAGCCATCCTTCCTGAGCTAAGACAAAAATGTGTGAGGCAGAGGCTAAAAAACTGTGAGCTAACTCACCTTAACTCAGCTTAGAGGGAGCACTGACTGCAGGTCTGAGAGACCTAAGTTCGAATATGCACTTGACTATGAAGCTTGCAGGTTGGCCTTTGGCCACTTATACTGTCTCTGCTTAACCTATGTCACCAGGGTGGTTCTGAGGATCAAATGGAGGGGGGGGGGGAAGACCACATAGGTTGCCCTGAGCTGTTTGGAGGAAGAGCAGGGTAAAAAACAACAACATACGTAAATACATGCAATCATCACTTAGTCTGGACTCAGAGTCTCCACTGTTATGTCAGTGAGATGATTACTAGGTTGGTGGCTTGCAGTTTGCCTGTCCCCGCAGTCCTCAGACTGCTTCCTGGGTCACATCTACACTGAAATGGATTCTGGTCTCCTAGCCAGGCAAATGGTTTGAGGATCAGAGCTTAAGCAGTGTCTCGTTTTTTAATTAGTTCCGTGTGTCAGTTGCTTTTTCTTGTGGTATCGGTGGATAGAATGCCTTTGTGTACGGCTGGCATCTCATCAGATGCTTGCTTCGTTTAGATTACTCTTTAATTAACTTTAGAACCAGCAGCATCAGTTCATCCTCAGCGTCCTGAGGATGCACGCAGCTACCAAAGAAACAGACTGCTTTTCAGTATCAGTGTGGTTCAAGTCACACACGTATCAGCTCCTGAGACAAATGGGCTGCTTACTTGCTAAATTAGTCTTGAGTTTGTGAGACCCCTCTTCTCATCCCACAGAGTGCATGTTTACTTGGCATTTTGAAGCGAGTAGCATTTCCATGATATGGGCACTCTGAGTTGCTAATTAAAAAAAAGAAAAACAACACTCTTGTAACACTGGAAATGAATGTCTGATCACAGTAACAGGACTCATTCCTCTTGCTCGTTATCTGTTTATTCAACATAGACAGCAAATCAGAAATGGGAAGGAAGATAAACAATAAAACCACGTGATTCACTTGACCGGTTGCTATCCAATCATTACCAAATCCAAGGCACCTTTACTGGGAAGGAAGTGCCATTGAAATGGACGGAGGACTCCAACATGGGCTAGGTGCCCTGGTTCACTTCAAATAAAGGTAGGATTTCTGATGCTCACTAACAGCACAATCCTACACT